TGAACAAAGAATTGAACTCCAGATGCTTAGCTGGTTTGCTCGGAATTGGCAATGGTCGCCTCCAACGTACCTCCTCGGGTCACCTTGACATGCGTTTTCGATGCTATGGAGTAACTTTGCTGGATCCTGGTGAGTAAGTCTTGTCGTCATGAATGCAATGAGTCTTGTTTGGTCGAACTGGTTCCATTTAAGGCAGTCTCTCGGGGTAGTGTCAAGCGCAAGCTCATTGACATCCATTTGCTTCGGCTTTACCAGAATGCAGCGGGCATGCTCCCAAATCGGTCCTTCATCTCAATGTAAGTCGTATATTATGTTATTTGACTTGTCGTCCGTCGTCCCTAGTCCTTTGGTCGTGGGCCAACTGAGATTCTGCCCAGATCTGAGGTTTCAGAGGGGCGGTCGTTCGCGAAAGAGCGCAAAGGACTCCGGAGCTAGTCAGCTGCGAGTGCAGTTTAAGCTTGAGCCTGACTCCGACACTGAAAGCACCATGGTTGTTATTGGTTGTTGTTGGATATGTTGCTGGAGATTGATTCATATGATGACTCACTGAATATCGATATTTGACGATTTGAACGTATACTCACAAATTTAAGGCGAGATCTCAAATGATGACGACAACGGCGTCGAGCTGTTCGCTGATGGCGAACAACTGGAAGATGACGAGGAGCTACGTTTACATATTCATGGCTGCCAGGGCTTCTACACGAAGCAAATCAGTCAAGAATTGAATGGCGGTTTTAAACAGCCGTCCAACTTTGTTCAATATTGTTCAATAATTTTGGTGCCAGGTGTTTGTCATTGTTCCTACTATTGTCCGCGCTCAAGGTATGTGGACACAGCTTTTGCACAACGGGTGGCAGAGCTACCGACCCGATACCTCCCACCGGGCAGTGTGAAAATGCTTTGGCACGAATTCCGTCTTTCGTGCTCTTCAGTTGCGCAACCCATCTTGAAACGCTAGTCAGTTAGTTACTGTCTGTCTTTCTTCTGTTCTTTGCCCTGCCACTGTGCGTGTCGGGGTAAGGTACGAAACATTTTGGCGGAGGTATTCAACGGCCTGGCGAAACACACTTCGATTTACCCCAGAATCGGATCACAGCACATGCGATGTCTGTATGGAGTGCAAAGAGGGGTTCAAATCAGCCATGGAATCTTGATTCACATGGAGTCGCAAATGCCTGACTTCTTCTGAGAATCATTGTTCTCATCATAGCATTTCATGCAGCCTCAGATTCTCAGGATGCGCAAAGCAAATTCGATTGCGAACGGATGTACAAGGATCACCTCACAATAGTTACAGCCGACCGCAGGCTGGAGGAGTTCTTCCAGGACTGGACCGAGTTCACAACTCATTTTTGGCATCGTTCTGTTCCATTCCTGCACGTCAGATGTATAACCGCAGACTTAACGTTTTTCAGACTGACAAGCTACCGTTTGGCAGTCGCAATCGCCCTTGGATGACGATAATGCCGCGTTGACGATCCATTGGGTGCCTGAGTATACATTTTGTCGCCTTAATCACATTGTGTGACGATTTCGTGGCAAAATTCAGGCTGACAACATTTTGTGGGATTTCGCATTGTAAGGACGGAATGGACCAGTCGAAATGGGCGCTACCGCGCCACAGGCTTGTGCAAAAGTCGAAGGAGGCTGCTTCAATAGTGCGTCCACGTATGAAGCTTCATGGCCTATGGATTCACGGAGTATCATTAAATTTGTATATATGCCATCCCGGCGTGCCAGCGGACTCAAGCCTCATATGTGAGTGCTTCGCCCGAGCACTTCAAGACACGTCAAACATGTTTGAAAGAAGGGGTAGAGCTATGCCCAAAGAATGCCTCATATGGGTCCTTGGGCGGCAATCTGTTGAGTGATCCTGACAAGTTGATTGTAAAATCCAGCCTTCAGTGGATGAATGCTGTATTGTTATGTATTGTTGGTCCCTCTGAGGCTGACAACACTGTACGCGAAAATAAGAATAATTGTTGCCTCAAGATGCTGTGCAGCATCCTTGGAAAGAACCTGATGTCCTGTGCCGGCATGTTTTTTGCCCGCACCGGGCACACTCACGGTCCGTTGGGTTTCTTGTCCGCAGTGAATGGGTGTGTGTCGGTTTGAGTATTAAGCTTGTCTACAGGACCTTTGCGGTGTCAAACCTGACTTGCGACCGAGACCAACTGTTCGGCATCTTAGCAGCCTGTGTCCGATACATAGACCTGATCTCTGATGTGCCTGACCTGGTTTCGCCGCTTGTTGTTCTTCCATTTCATTGCCTGTTGCAATACAATTGAATTGACAGTTGAAAGTGACAACAGCAGCTAAGTCTTTGTGCTTAGAGCTAGCAGCAAAGTCTACAGCTTGCGTCCCAAGGAAGATTCGCCTGGTTCTTGACCGCATTCAAATCCGGAAGTGGATTGGACCACATGCCCGGATCAATGTTGAGTTTATCACCGCTTGTCGCAGCTGGAAGTCATGGTTTCTTGTCAGTGATTCGTTCATTAATTTGCTAGCCGATCATTGAGCTTAGAACTTGTGACAACCCAGTAGTTGATTGATGCTCACACCTGCCAGCGCTGACTTTTTTTCCGTCTGCTGCTCTCCAGGTTGGACCAGAATCTCCCGGTGACCTTCCAAGGAAAGGAGGACTGAAGAGAGATGCTGGCGGACACCATGCCTACATTTTTCTCAGAAGGAAAGGCCAGCTTGGGTCTTTGTAACATGATTTTTTTTTGGGAAGACACGCTAAACAAACCAAACTGGGGACCTCCCTGCCACACTGCCAGATGTTCCTCGAAACATCATCATCACACAAGATGAGAAGAGTGGGCCTTTGGTTCCAAATGATATGGACATCATTTGCTTTGTGAAGAGGAACGCGTCTGATTCAGACCTATCGCAGGAAACCTGACAAATGTATTCCATGGATTTCACTTTCAATTAATTTGTCAGTAGAGCTTGTAGTCTCAAATTGATTTACTACTTGATCCTGCTTGTATCCTCTCTCAGGAAGCGGTAATGGCAATGCCATACCAATTCATGCAGAACATCATTGACCATGCGCCAACTGTTGCCCGGCCTTTGAAGCTAGCAACCCGTGGAAAGCGGGCCAAGTACCTGGAGTTGTGCAACGTGCTGCTCCGGAAATTCCCAACAGAGAGCATGGGGCGGTCAGTGGCCTTTCTCCTGGACTTAGTGTCAAACACAAATCCAGGACAGCTGGCCCCGATACCTTTCTACACAACCCCAGGTCAACAAGACTTGATTGACATCTCACGTCAAACCACTTTGGGAAGGGTTGTGCCAACCATAACCTTTCAAGCCCGGATCAACCGCAACCGTCGCTGATGTCAAACTTAGAGTTGCTTGCCCCACTTCTTTCATGGAAGAACCCTCTCAGTCAGCCATGTGGTACAATGCTGTGCAAGCATGATCGTTAGTACTACAAAACAGCGATATATACAAGATTCGACAGACTGAACCAAACTGACAGCATTCTGAAGCCTCTTTTAGGCTCCAACTGTTTTTAGGGTCTGATGCCGGCCGTCCCGAAGAAAAGACCTTACAGGCCCCCAAAACACTCAGATTTCATTTCTCAATAACCAGTCAATCTTGTCTCATCTGCAGCTCTTCCTCCGACTCGCAAAAAAACTGCCACCAGGCGAGCAAAGTCGCAGGCGCCTGTTTCTTCTTTGGATTTCAGCATCCAACAGGCCTTGGAGATGCAAATCAGGTGAGTAGGGATATGTGTTTCGAAATAAGGTTAACCAAGTCTTCAAGGCTTGCATGCCATGTAGATTTTACAAATGGGCAATGGATCAGATTGATGCCTTTGGCAGGTGTTTGCCGACTGGGACGCTATTTGCACCAAAGCCCAAGTCTAAGTTATCAGACTGTTTTTCAGTGAACCACAGGTATCTATGGGTCCTGTAATCCGTGTCCAAACTGAAGATCTTCAGGACATCTTTGATCCGTTTCAGCACGAGGACTCGCAGGCGCCTCACTAACTTATCTTTTGCACAGAACCCCCATGGTCACTGTGTATAACATAATAATTGGAAGCTATGGGCAACAGGTGGAACCACGGCATGTCCGAGCTTACTTGGAAGAGGCACATGTTTCGATTCTCATTGTTTGGTTCTGGCTGGGTTTCATTTGTTTTGGATCTGACTGTTACTCAGTTCAACCGGGACGAGTTCAAAAAGCAAGGGAGCCTTAAACAGGCCCGAAATGTTTGTTCTTGGTGTCATGAGAAATCATGAGAAGGGAGAATCTGACGGAGTCTGGATTCCATGCAGGTTATCCGCAATACACCATTCAAATTTGGCTGGGACCTGATCTTTTACGAAGGAGCTGATGGCACGTGGAAACGGATTGGGAAGGGACATGATTTCAACGGAAAACGGCACCTTGTCAATGGATGGATTTACCCAACTACTTGTGACATTGTCGCACGTTGGGAGCAGGTTTCTCAGGACGCGGCTCTGGGAGTTGTTCTCAGACTTGATGAGGCTGTGCATCAGGTTCCTCAGGCAAGCACGTCCACCGAAACTGACAACCAGGAGATCTCTGAGTCTGAGAACCTTGAGGCCTGACACGATGGCTTAATTGCTGAACCTCTGTCACCATTGAAAGAATATTAGTCATCTTTCAATTGTCAAGTGATTGTGTGACAGTCCGACTGGGCGTGTGACTTGCATGTCAACAACGGCACCAAGGCAGGGTTGCAGTTGTTCATTCTTGGAGTGAATATTGGTCGAACAAACATATTTATATAATGAATAGTAAGTCTACAAATTCAGGGAGGGTTGATGGGACCCCCTCACATGGGAGGCCCTCACTCTTGAGAATATGAAAATACAGACAAGATTCTTTCCAAAGGCTGTTCTTTAAGATCCCTTCAAGATTGCTGCTGCACATTTTCTGCGCCAAACCACTTCGTATTGCTCGTTCAACCCATGTTAGGTTGAAAAACGTGATTGGACTTGGCAAAGTGACGTTTGTCACTTACCTTTCTCTTTGGTGATCTTTTTTGTCACCTCTTTCGAGCTCTTTTTCACCTTCTTGGTGTCTTTTGAACTCTCCTTCTCATGCATCAATGGTTTCTTTACAGATCCAGACGCACTTGCAGCTGCAACCTTTGGTGGAGCTGCCAGCGCACTCCCAGCTGCAACCTTTGGTGGAGCTACCGGTGTGCTCCCAGCTGCAACCTTTGGCGGTGTACTTCCAGCTGCAACCTTTCGAGCAGCCACAAAACCTGTTGATTCATCAAAGCACTCCACAATCTTTTGCATCAGCTCCTCACTCGGCCTCAGATATTTTTGAGAGCTGCTTCACATTAAGTTAAGAGTCTTGCGGGCAACATAAAAATATAAACAAAACTGTTATCAAGTAAATAATTAAATTGACTTCAGGTTACCGATCAATCAGATCTGCAGGATCTGCATCAAGCTTCTCATACACATTCCAGAGCCAGTCAACCACTTCCACCAGTGCTTGTAGCTCTGTCAAGCGCCTCCTTGAGCCATTCCAGCATGCAGCATGTGAGTAGCGCCGACCTGACAGTCAGTGACAGTCAGTGTCTGTTACGCCACAGCCACTGACAGACTGACGGACACTGTAATTCCCCCAATAAATAGAAAAGAAAAAACACATAACTCACACATGACATACACACATATTCACACTCATATCAGCATTCCACTGAAAAGGGGCTTTAGTTGGCTAAGTCAAGTCACTGTCACGTTCCTTGGTGGGCGATGAAAGATAGAAGGCCTGATAGCGCATCAACTTGGGATGCCTTGTGAGTAGTGTACCCTTCACTGGTGGACACAGTGTAGCAAGAACTCCTGGTGTCTCATGTTGCTGCGAAGAGTGGGCCAATGGAGAAGACCGTTGTTTTCGATCCCGTACATTCTCAAGTCGCAGTTCATCCATGGCAACCTCGGTCATTTTTGAAAACTCCCTCAAGTCCTCCTGTTCCAAGCCATTGAAGGCAGCTATGATGGACTTGCTGTGTTTGCCAGCTTTTTTCTGGACATGCCGAACTTTTTTGCCCATCATTCCATCTACCAAATCCTGTTTCTCCTCCTCCGTCATGTCAGGGAACAAATGGTTTAGTAGGGCCTTCACAAAGTCGATCTTGATGACGTTGCCATTTTTGCCGCTGCCTTGCCCCTTGCGAGGTAGACTGAACTTGTAGTGCGCATGAAGCAGCTGCAAATGAGACATATTCAAAGCAACGCCGCTTTTCAAGCCAGCAACAACAAGGGGTTCTTCATTTCCACATTGATGCAGAACAACAATGAAGTCTCGCAAATCATTGGGAACCTCCCATGGGTGCAAAGGTGCAATGGGAATATGCATCCAATCAGGGTCCAAGCTTGTATTGAAAGTCCATGTGGGTGCTTTTTGCTCAGGGTCGACCCAGAAGTAAGCCTTAAGCTGTTTGTCAGGCCGGCAAAACTTAACTTTGACCCAACATCAATTTCAGAAAATACCAATATATGAATATCATCGAATGACCGTGCAAAACCAGGTTGCGGTAACAACTTACTACATTGGGAACTTGGATTGGTGATTCACATTCCAACCTGCTCCAAACAATCTCTTTTTGAAACAGTAACACCAAGGTTCCTTCCCATCGATGATCCTCTTGACCAGTTTGATGCCCAAACATGCATATGAGCGGAAGCCAAGGCTCAGTATGGTGGTTTCTCTGCTCTCAGATTGGTAGCAATGCCCTTTCATAAAGAAGACGCCTCACCCGCACCATCAATGACAGCTGACATGCATTGCAGCATTACAATTACACATCTAATTTAAACTACCCTCTACACTACACCAGGGTCGGGTTATATAGAACAGTTTCTGGAATCCTGGCCTGTCCATGCCATGTGAGCAGAGCTGAACTTGCGTTCGTGGTTCTGGACAATCCAGGCCGTGGCAGCACATGACTTTTGATTGCTCAGGGTCCCAGCTTTCTTTGCAGGCTGGCCTCGTTGCCTCAAGATTGCCTTACGAATCACGTCAGGTAGAGGATCCTTGATGCTCTTGAATGATTTTCCTGCTTTTGACACATCAGACCTCACAGCAGTCTTGTAGTAATTGGCAACATCTTCAAAGGTGCACATCAGTTGCGGCCAGCCCAACTTTAGCAGGGATGGCAGGGTATGGCAGTAGAACCAGCGGACCCACCTTGACTTGAGTTAGTGACTCAGTGAGTGTGTTACTATTGTTGAACTAAACAAACATGCATATTTGACGAGTCTAGCATTCGACTGCTGCTGATGACCATGAGGACAGACTCAGAGTCAGTGAGACTAAATTAAATTAAATACTTCAAAGTAGGGGTCACATCTAAAGTCTGTTGAGCTCAGCTCCAGTGACTTGTTCATGGCAGAGCTCTGGTTCCAAACCTTGCTCAAACTCGCCAAATGAGCAAACCCATCCTCCAGGTCATACTTTGTGTTTTGTGGTGACCCTGTCATAGCTAGAGCCACCTCCTGAATGAGCTCGTGCTTTGCGTCCCAATTACCAATGCTGCAAATCAAGCACAACTCTCGCGCCAATTGTATGTTGTTCCAGGCAATGTCATCGAGGATCTGCTTTACCGCCAGCTTCGTCCGTTTGGCGACCTTGGGATCATTTACAAGTGCCTCGGCTGCAATAATGGCGCGCCACAACTTCTTCTGGTAGTCCATATGACCTTGGGCAACATGCGGCCTTTTATCCAAAACCGCTGGGAAGCAGTTTGGCAGGCAGTCTGAGAACAGTGACTGGCTCCAGCATCTTGCTGCACTGATCTCGACAATGAAAACCCAAAAGTCGTAGAGGAGTTGTTTCTCAGTGGTGATCCATGCTTCTCCAGACTCAGACTGGTGCAAATCTTCAACACAAATTGGAGGGCCACTGCAATCTGTTGTAATCCCAAACGATTGAAGAACATCTGTATCATGCAGCATGCCAAAAGCCTTCAAGATGGTTTGCAGCCACGCCCGACTTGAACGCATTGTTTGCCATTCACGGCATGAGTCCTGCTGAATTGTGTTGGATGAGGTTCAACCACTTAGTGTTAAGTAGCGGCATGTCATGCAGTCACTCAGTCAGTGGGGTTGATTAGCTGGGTGGCCTGAAACATTAGTGCATGTCACAATGTCAAAAAACAAGTAATGTTCTATGTTTATGTTAAACTCCCCTTGAACAGTGACAGTTAGTTAGTCAAGTCCTGAGACTTCTGTTGTTGAAGCATTTGGAAGTACTCCCGTTTGAAATGAAAGGCAGCATAGTACACCATCCGCATATCGTCCCGGAGTGTCAAGTCATGATAAAGGTGAGCAACCAAATGCATTGTGTTCTCAAACCTGCCTCTCAGGGCTGATAACTCCTGCTTGGTCTGAGGACGTAGCTTGGGCACTTCTGCTTCATCAGGCTCGCCATCGTCATCGTCCAAGCCATTGTTTTCGACTGATTGCTCCTCATCTGCAGAGTCAGCCTCCAGGTGATCTTCGGTGGGCTCACCGTCAGGGTTTCTCCACCAAGGGCCATCAGCCTGAGTCTTGCTGGGAGCGTACTGTATTATGCACACATGGAACAGCCTTTTCGAAATGCATGGGTCTGTGGGTTCATAGCCTTGAGTTGGGTTTGGTTCAATTCATAGCTGGGTTTCATTTAACATAATCAATCAAAAACGATAAAGCAATTTGAACAACCAGTCGACCCAATCTCAAACATTTTCAGACTTTGATAGCTTTGACAAGATTCCCCACTGCGGTCAAGCGCATGATCAAGAAGGAATGAGATGAGTGACCAATTGTCACACAAATCAGCCATGCAGTCGATGCTCCCGAACCAACTCTTTGTCTTCACCTCAGCTTTGCGGTTGACTTCAATGTGTGTGTGGCTTGGGCTTTTATCAATGCAAACATTTCAAACAAACATACTTACCAGGGTTACCAGGTTAATGATTTAATGGGGAGCCACAAAGTATCACTGTTAGCCACATGACCCAGGAGTCAGTACCAATTGATGGCTTACTCACATGGCTCTCAAGACTTAGTCAGGTCTAGTGACAAAAGCCGGTAGCTTTGTGACGGCCGGTAGGTTTGGCAGCTCTGACTTCTCATTTGGCAGGGTCTCAGACTCCTGAAAGGCCTTGTCGGAGGCCATGGAATCCACCAATTCATTGAACTCATCATCGCTGAGGTGGTGCGCTAGGGATTGGGCTGACTCTTGTAGGGTCTGAAAGTTCCTTCCTGATTTAAACGGTCCATGCATGACGTTCGCCATTGTCATAGCAAGGAGTAGGACATATTGGCGCCCGGCTCGGCGCACTCCGTTGCGCACGTCATTCCAACAGGAATGGCATGTTTCTGGCTGTGCAAAGATGCGAAGCCCCAGTTCATGTTCTAGGCAATACAGCATCTTGAATTGAGCTGACTCTTCATCACAAACCTAAGGGATGACTGACTGACTGTGAAAATAATCAGAGTGAGGTCGTCACGTCACTAAGTAGTATCATATGCTTTATGTTTTAGTAATACAATGGCATGACTACTACAGTATAGTAAAATTAAAAGTCGGTCTGCAAGCGTCAGTCAGTCAGTCAGTCTGAGAGTCGGTGCAGTCACAGCAGGCCAGGTCAATCAGTCAGTGGGTCCTCTCCAGTGTTGTTTATTAGTCTAGCCACCAGGACCACTAGTAATAAAACTAACTAGGCTTAAGATTTTGGGATGTGGTTTCCCATGGCTTCTGAAATGGGCCAAGATTCAACCAGAAGCATCGGTCGATTGACCAGCTCAGGTGGCTGCAGCATGTCCGGAAGGAGAGTATCTCCGGCTTTCAGTCGCTTCTCTGGCACCCTAGGCTGACACAGTGGGCGGGTGGTGTCATGACTCGAGTCGTCATTGGGGAACGGGCCTGGGGGGGGAGTGGAGTCCGGTCACCTGATCAGTCAATGTCATGTCGGTTTGATATAGTAATATAAGTTTGATCTAACTAAATACTCTCTCTGACCCAGACTCAGTCAGTTACTGCTACTATTAAATTAAGAATGCCACAGCGTCTTTAACTTTATCATTCACATACCATCAGGCAGGGAGCGTCAGACACTCAATGAAACAGTCAAGCAAACCAGTCCAAAGCTAAGTCGCAAATGCAAAAGGTCTTTCCCATCCCACATAGTCTTCAAGTCTGAGTTCAGAGCTTGTGCCAGTGCCTAGGCGGTCATACATCATTCATGGAATATGGGCTAGGACATGAATCTAGCAAGCAACCATTGTTGTGTGAAGCTGCCATGCACTGTCATGACATTATTCAATAATGTATTTTTTAAAAGCAAATAATACAACTCCCATTTCAATACAATTTGTTCAATCTTAGATTACTTTAAGTATTATCAACCATTAGATGATTACCAGATTCAAGCTATTATTGTTGAAGGCATGTTGCAATCATTCCCTGTATTGTTTTCTTCAGCCGTACTGGAAGATGGAGTGGAGGGTCAAGTTCATGCCGCAATCCAAGGTTCCTTGGATGGCCATTGAATCAAACCTCCAGGATACTTGGCACCTTTAGAATCAACTTGGCTGCAGAGAGCAGGTTTGTTTACACAAGTCTTCATTGAATTCAGGTTTTATTAACTGGTACCAATAATAAAATAAAGGACCAAGGAGCGAAGCATAATTATATATAATATATTGAACCGAATTCTCAACTCAGAGACTCAGTAACTCTCGACTCGACAGACTCAGTCACTCGTCTAATAGACTAAAGTCAAGGTTCGGCTGGTAGAGTGCATTCATCATGACCGCATTCGCCGGCAATTCCTCAGCAGCCAACCGAGTCTCGAATTGTGATCTCTGGTGATTTTCAGCTAAGTATGACTTAGGGGTGTTGCGAATCGACTCGGCTGGATTGTAAATCAATCTGTTTGATAACCCTGATACTGGTGATACATTACACTCAGCAATCTCGACTATGAGTGTTACAAGGCTGTGTGTGTGTGACACAGTCTGACAGAATGACAATGTCCAGTCAGTATCAAAAGTCGAAAGCAAAATAAAGCACCTATGCACTTGCATGCTCACGATAGGTTTTTTTCATCAGTCAGTCCAGCCACCGTCCCTGGTTCCTGAACGACATCCTAAACTATTGAGAAGGCTGGAGATGTAGAGCCTCGTCTCTGTACGGCTCAACACTACCCAATGAAGTCTAAGATTGAACCAAAATGATGAGCGTTATTGCCCATCGGTTCAACTGCTCAGTATTAGTAGCATTCACTCACAGACTGCTGCCCCTTGTAGAACCCTTTCTAAACAAAAGTGCAGGATGACGAGATGTTTGATTGATTGCTGACAATCTGTCCAGCTAGGATGTTGTTTAAGTACAGATTCTACCAAGCAGTCGTGGTGCAGCTAGCCAACTACAAATGCTCATTGTAGTTTCTCAGTCAACAACCACCTGGACCTGCAATCATCTTGTTGAAACGAACACGCTTCAACATGGGCGGCTGGACAATCTGAGGAGAGCCCATACACAAAGACCTTTTCATCGGCGGGGACAGAGCAGCAGGCTTTGGAGTCGGACCCCACACCAATGGCTTGAGTTCTGGGAAGTGCAAATCAGCAATCTTCCTCTCTAGTGCTGGACCTGAGGATGGTGACCCAGGAAGATCTTGAGAAGACTCTGCTGCATTGCCATCAATCATAGGACCATCAGCAAAACCACGGGCACGATTCCTGTGCTGGCTATGCCCAAGGGAACCCAATGATGACTTTGATGTGGAGCTTGGTGAAAACATTACTTGAGTCAGTCAATCATGAGTTCTGTTTCAGAGAGAGTCATGGATGAACTACCCATCCAACTAACTACATTTAAATAACACAGAAACACTTACTATTTAGTAGCACAGGTGCAATGGAAGCCGGAGACCTCTTCATTTTGGGAGTGGTTGGCGGGGTCATGTTGGCATCAGGACTCTTAGGCTCATCAATGGCAGCCTCCAACTGCGGCTGAACAATCCCCATGTTGGCGGGCAAAGGCAAAGGGTTGACTTGACCAGCAGCGCCATCCCTACCACCATCATTGCCATCATCATTGCCACCAACCACAGGTGCTGCACGAGCATTGCCGCCCAATGATGGATAGTTGCTCCACAGCTGATTGCGGTGTCCAGCGCAGAATGGTGCAAAGAATACTGGCTGACCCCAAATTGGATCAAGGTGACTACTCTTGTATTCCACATCGGGCCTCAAAGGCACATTCAAATCCATTGGAGTTGGAGGCCACTTGGCCCGCTTAGCAGGATTGCTAGGACTGCGAGCATACTCTGGCACGTAACGCCAGTGCGGGTTGGATGGAATTGGCTGGCCTTCCATTGCTGATACACGTCCGTAAACGAGTTTACACTGGGCCTCACTCTTGTAAAATTAAATGGCTCCATAGAACTTATTCATTGAGGCTTGATACATGTGTCAGATCTGCCACCAGGAGTCAATGATCAATACATGGTACCCAGGATTATCATAATTTTGATTCAAGAGGTATAATCAATCTGATTCACACCACCACCACCACCACCACCACCACCACCAGGACCAAGCCACCAGCTGGAGTTGTAATCAATTCCTACAGTGGTACTGATCATGAATTTGCTCTGGCTGAGGCTAATTCCTCAGATTTTTTGCGCAAGCTCGATCTGTCACCAAGATCAGACAGAGTCTTGGTTTGATGGACTATGTCCATTCCATGGCTGACTTCCAACTTAGGCCTGAATTCCGGGACCATTTCGATTAGAGGTGGTAGTTCACAATCCTGCTAAATTACAATACATAAAGACAAAACTAAACAACCAATTCATGGTATTCATTGATATACTATATAACATGGCTGGCCACTGTTGGATTCGATCAGCCTATCAACACCTTTGATCCAGCTCCTGGTTGCATCCAACAGCATCAGCAATTGGAATGTCGACAATGCCTGCATCCATGAGTCTCACGGTCATGTAGCTTAAACGGTTGATTCAGATAGATTGGATTGGAGTGGAAAAAATAAGAAAGCATATTGTGAAATAATGATTCAATCAAATGCAATTGCAATCCAACAGAAACATCAGTGTTCTGGTTCCAGGCAATGTCAACTATGCTCCATAGTGTCACGTGACAGTTTGGAATCACCCTGAATAGAACCCAAGTTAGGCCACCAGTCAATCATGACTCATGACTAATGAAATGTTTCGATCATGACTCCTGACTATGTGTGGGTTTGTGGTAGTGCACCCAAATTATGACAGTGAAACATAGGTCGTTTTCATAAAGTTAAGAGTGGTGAAGAGTGGTTAAGAGTAGCTAAGAGTGGTTAAGAGTAGCTAAGAGTAGCTACATAGGGGACCCTAGGATTTCATCGCTATTTACAGGGAATCTGGTATGGGACCCCCTCACTCTTAGCCACTCTTAACCACTCTTAACCCACTCTTAACCCACTCTTAACCCACTCTTAACCCACTCGTGACCATATGAAAAGCCCTTTATTCAGATTGATCCCTTTGGTGTAAGTAAAGAAACCGGGCTCTGTCACTGTGCCACTGGAGCTGTAAACATTACATAGATGCAGGAGCTAATCTGGGCATTCATTTCATTTCTTCCCTTTGGCAAAATTCAACTTTGGCGCTGCCTTTGCTTTCTGCTTAGGCTCAGGGGAGACTGTGTCTGGCTGCTTGGTAGCTGATGACGGTGGTTCCTCCACATCCGTTTTTGCACCTTGGATTCAATGGAAGTCTGTGAAACCCCATGTTCAATAGCAAACAAGGACTAAGCTGCTTGTTTCAATTGCCCAAGCCGGTAACCAACACCCTCAAAACAAATGATTGCTGAATATCAATATTCAAGCTGCTAGGCTCTGCCACCACTGAAGCTGATGCATCCTGCCCGCCTGTATGTTGACATGTAAGCTGTATTTATTAATTAAGTTAAGAAAACATAACTTACACTATATAGTTTATTTCAATAAATAAAAACTTTTTGCATGTATGTTATGACCAAAGCACCAGTCTGAATCTCACCTTCAGTCTGCTTCGGCTCAACCTTCATCTCAGCCTCACCAGACTCCTTGACACCAGTCTTCTCAGCAGCCGGTGGAGTAGGCATTGTTCCTGTCTGGTCGGTCGGTTCAATTAACTATAAGTAAACTTCACTGAATTGGTTCACAACCCTTTCTCAGTGACTTTCAGTTTAACGATTGATGGATCATCATAAATTTTCACATTGTCCTGTATTGCCACCAGTTGAAGCATCATCGGGAGCTGATGCAACGGGCTCTTCTACAATGACGGTCTTGAATATCGGGTCATGTCCACTCTCCACTGCCTCAATGAACCCCATCTTGCAATCATCACAGTGGCTGCGCTCGTGATTGCACTTGCA